TTCCCTGCCTGCTGCCTCGGGCCTCAGCACGCAGGCGCTCAGGTTCCCCTGGGCAGGACCCCGAGACGTGTATTCCCGGTGCAACATGAACGTGAACGTAAGTGCGCCTCCTCCCAGTCCCTCCCGAGGAGGCTGCTGCAACTAGTTTCCCCCGCCCCGTGCCCATCTGGAGTGAAGTGCCCTGGCAAGGCCCAAGCCCAGGGCATCGGAATGAGCCTCCTGAATACCACAGTCCAAGCACAGAGGTCTTGGGTCACCAGCCCAAGGTCACCCAGCACAGCAGGAGACCTAGTCCAGTGTTCGGGCCTCGGCCCCCTCCTGAGAGCCCCGCTTCAGTGTGACACACGGAAAAGAGGCTGAGACCCCCGGGGCCTAGCAAAGCCACGGGCAAGGTCCAGTCCGGGGCCGTGAAAGCCGGAACTGACGTCACTGGTTCCAGGATGTCTGCTGCTCTTGGGTCCGCAGAGCTGCCTGGGTCTGCTGCAGGCACCGGTCATAGAATGACATGGGGGCCTTCGGGGGCTCCGGAGGCCGTGCCAGCCCCTCCTCTGTGCCTGTGCCCCTGAGTCTCCTATGCTGGAGTCGCTGTAAGTGCCGAGCTGGCACCCTGATGGCCCTGGGGCCCCTGGAACAGCTGCGGGAAGAGGAAAGTGGGGCAGGCGGTGACGGCTGCCAAGGACTCCACCCTGCTCTGCGGACACAGGAGCGGAGTGGAGGCCGCGGGGAGCAGGGCTGGAGAAGGGGAGGGGGGGGTGGTACCAGAAGGGGGCAGAATAAACCAGCCCGGCACCCAGAGGCCGGGGTTCTGCCGCTGGCCGGCTGCAGGAACCTGGGCCAGTCTGGGCGGGTTTCCTCACGTGTGAAATAGGAAAGGTCGCACGGGGCTGGCTTGGAGAATCAGACTCGAAATGAGACTGTGAGTTAAGCCAGCGTTTCAACGATGTGTCCACAGGCCTTAGGCTGGGTGCACCTCACACACATACCATTTCCTTGGCTTCTGTGACCATTTTACAGATAAGAACATAGAGGTGTGGAGAGTTGGCTCAACTTGTCAGGTCACATAGGAAGTAAATGACAGAGTCAAGATGCCACCCAGCCCGGCCGGCGTGGCTCAGTGGTTAAGCACCGACCCATGAACCAGGAGTTCACGATTCGATTCCCGGTCAGGGCACATGCCTGGGATGTGGGCTTGATCCTCAGCAAGGGGTCTATAGGAGGCAGCCGATCAATGATCCTCTCTCATCCTTAATGTTTCTATCTCTCCCTCTCCCTTCCTCTCTGAAATCAATAAAAATAATTAAAAAAAAAAAATGGGGCCAACTACAGAGCTGACCCGAGGCACCAGGGGGTAGAGAGAGGACAATGGAGCCCAGAGGTCCCTGATCTCTGCCCCATCAACTTGGCCCAGGTGCACAAGGCGGGCACAGGCTACCCCACCCCCTCGGGAAAAGTGCCCCTCCCTCCTGGCTCTGCTGCCACTTACTCTTTGCTCTCGGCACAGTCCAGGGGAGGGGCCAGCTTGAAGCAGGTCGTGCCCAGCAGCTCCCAAAGCATGTTGGCACCTGTGGGTGGGCTGTGGAGCCTCAGGGAGCGTGCTAGTCTGAGGGCAGAGGCAGGCTCAGGCTGGGGAAAGGCCTCGCCGGCCGGGTGCCCCTTCCCAGTGCCTGGCAGCGGGCAGCCCACCCCCAAGGGTCCCAGCAGGTCTCACCGGCGCGTGCAGTTGCAGTGGAAGAGGGGCTCTAGGCCATCGTTGAGCAGCTGGAACTTGGTCTCCTGGGGCCCGATCTGGTACTCACACCTGTCCAGGTGGCGGAAGCTGCGGCAGGCGTGGCGGGCGACTGGGGGCGGTGTGGTGGTGAGGGGAGCCCAGTCCCCCAAGGGGGCCTCTCCCCCCATGCCCACTGCTATCCAGAAGAAACACCAGCACATGGACTCAGACACACACACACACGCACACACACACACACACACACACACACAGTGGGGTCCAGAGCGCTGAGGGTGTTCAGAAAAGGCCCCCTGGAGGCAGAGGCTGCTCAGCTCGGCTGGGAGAGAGGACGAGGAGGGGAGAGTGCTCCGGGCAGAAGGAACAGCATGTGCAAAGGCCCAGCGGTGGGAGAGAGCAAGTTGCTTTTGAGGAACCACATGAAGTTTGTGAAACTCAAGTTTCGACTAAGGAGTAGGTTTCGCAGAACCAGTGCCCGAGGGCCCTGGGGTATTGGGACACTGTCAGTGCAGGTAACAGGAGCCAAGGTGGGGGCTCGGAGGGAAGTGACATTGTCGAGTTGGAAGCTTATGGAATTCCCTCTGGCTCCAGTGTGACTTGAGGGAAGGAGAGAGAGACCCCGGGAAGAGC